TCCGAAGTATGAGTACGTGCTGGCAGTGAGGGTTTCCCCACTTCAGTATAATCTATACCGATACTACCTTGACCATTTCACAGGTGCGGATCTGTATTGTGCCCTAAAATAAACCTAAAATAGATGTCTTTTTTTTTTACTTGAAGAGTTTATAGATGGTTGTGCTTTTTCCCAGGTGTAAGCTCCTTACATAACAGCAAAAAGATGAGGCCTGGAGCAAACCTGTTCAAGGACTTTCAGGTCCTTGGCCGAATTTGGACTCATCCATGGTGCCTTCAGCTCAGCTACCTGAGCAAATTAAAAAAGGTAGAAAGATCTCCGTAACTGCATGTTGATTACTCATTAGTCTGAAATAACATGTTTTTCTTTTTCTTTTGCAAAGAAGAGTAAAGGTAAAGCAGCAGATCTGCCCAAGGATGCAGAGACCCCTATGACTGAGGCTGAGAGGTAAGACCTCTTCATTTGTTATTCATTAAAGCCTAAAGCACCCCTAAAACAATTCTGGTGGGTTATGGGAATACTAAAGACCTTTCCTTTAAGATGTATTCTCAAGCAGTGGTGGAACAAATACAGATTGTAGACCAACTGGCTATCCAAGGAAACATGATGCATAAATCTAGATTGAAAAATGGATGTTGTGTAGACAGGAAGTGTATAAACTCTGGAAGTGTCACTAATAAATGTGATTGTGGAGTTTGTATAGAATATTTGTATACGCCATATAGATTTTGGTAGTCAAAGTACCCTAAGGCAATGTTTATGCAAAGTTTCATCAAGGTTAGTCCACTCGTCCAGGAAGAGATGTGGAGCATGCATACATATGCTACAATGGTTATGTTTATTTCTTCATTTTTAGCTGGTGTGAAGGAATGAAAGAGAACGAAGGACAAGAAGGGAATAACACTCACAACAGCACACCAATTATTGATGATGTCAAAGTTGTCTGTGCAGTGGAAGGTATAAAAGCTCCACATGCCACTAATACTCCAACAAATATAGCTTGTGAAATGTGCTACAGTTTTTCCCATTTTATGTCTTTAGCAGTAGAGAACGCACCCATCAGCTTGAAGCCTCCGAGTCCCGATGAGCGCTGGTACAAGGATCTTCTCTCTGAAAGAGATGCCAAAATCCTGGAGCACTCAGGGAAGATGGTGCTCTTGTTTGAGATCCTGAGAATGGCTGAAGAACTGGAGGATAAAGTGTATGTTTGTTTTCTGATATGAAGCAGATTTAAACAAGTGATCTGCCAGCGTCTAATGTCATAAATGCGTTTGTAGGATTGTGTTCAGTCAGTCACTGATCTCATTACACCTGATTGAGGATTTTCTTGCGGATTCTCACCGTGCCAGAGACCCATCAGCATTCAAAGGTAGTATTCTATTAATGGGAGAGGAAAATAATGAGTTAAGAGGAAATGCCTGTTTATATTTTTATGCTTTTTTTTCCTCCTTGTGTTTAAATTTTTTACAGCGGGCAGCTGGGTTAAAAATGTTGATTATTACCGCTTCGATGGTTCCACCAGTGCCACACTGAGGAAGAAGTGGGCAGATGAGTTTAACAATCCTGTAAATGTCCGGTAAAGAATGTCTCTCTCTGTCACATCTTTTATATGAACTACACTGATATAACAGAAGGTTCGGATTGAATTTGAATAATCTTTATTCTAGCGGCCGATTGTTCCTCATCTCAACAAAAGCTGGCTCACTTGGCATCAACCTGGTGGCTGCTAACAGGGTGATCATCTTTGATGCCTCATGGAATCCCTCATATGACATCCAGAGCATTTACAGAGTGTACCGCTTTGGTCAGCTGAAACAAGTGTTTGTGTACCGCTTCTTGGCCCAGGTAAGCTTGCTTTTTTATTTAGAAAATTGAGCTCCACAAAGTCTTGACCTTAAGTCAGTTGTGGCCTCTCTAGTAGTTTAGAAGAAACGGCACTGTTTAAAAGTCATATGTGCTTCTTTTCTACTGTGCCACTGTTGTATGTTCTGCACATGTTACATCAACAGATGAAATGTTTAAGATTGGTCACTAAATAGTCCTTTTCAAATTAAAACAACATCAGACGTAAACTGAAAAGCGATGCAAAAATTTATATGGACTAATTCTTGCAGCTGCAACTCTTTTATTTAGTTATTGTGATTGTTGTCATCTTCAGGGCACCATGGAGGAGAAAATCTACGATCGGCAGGTGACCAAGCAGTCGCTGTCCTTCCGAGTAGTAGATCAGCAGCAGATTGAGAGACACTTCACCTTTCATGAGCTGACTGAACTTTACACATTCGAGCCAGACCTGCTCAACGATCCAAACTCTAAGAAAAGCAAAAGACCGGCTTCTGTGTTGCCAATGGTAACGACAGTCTTAATTTTCAGTCTCAATCTTACAGTCTTAATCTTACAGTCTTAATCTTAGTCAAACACCACGCAGGTGTTTGACTAAGATTTTGCAGCACTAGATAACTTCTTGTATGTTTCTCAGGATACGGTTCTGGCACAGCTGTTAGAAGACTGCAAAGACCACATAGTGACTTACCATGAGCACGAATCCCTGCTGGACCATAAACAAGACGAGGAGCTCAGTGAGGCAGAACGGAAAGCTGCTTGGGATGAGTATGAAGCTGAGGTACAGGACTGCTCACTGCAAAGCACTGATTATCCCCACCTTTTACATCATATGCATATGAGTAAAACTGTCTGTCTTTACTCAGTCACACCCAGCCAGTGTTCCAGAGACCTCTCACCAAGATGATTTGGATTTAAAAACCAATGAGCAGCTATTGGTATAAATATGTCATTTTATCGCCTCACTGTTTAGTAACATTTGTGTTTTATATTATATATTAAGTAAAAATGTCTCTACAGGAACTGCTTAACAAAAGCAGAACAACTGTTTCAGTGACCTTCACGGCACTGCAGAAAATGAGGATTCACACTGTTGAGGAATACATGTTTCTAATGGTGAGTGACCCTCATATCCTGTGGCGATGGGCATTTTTTTTAAGGAAAATAAAGTTCTTTAAATGTTGATTTATGTTAGTTTTAAAAAGTATTTAATTCACTTTAAAATTGAAACATATTTTGCAAAATCTTTTGCATAGCTGTACTTGTAAAAAAATTCATTCAGTGCCATGCTGGGCCTTTTATGAATGTCGGTCAGTTTTTGGCACTGTTTTGTGTCATTAATGTCAGTAAACACTTCTTTGTCCTCCAGCTCCACAGTGTTTCTGATGGTGGATTGTGTTCTCTGGTCAATAATTTTATCTTGGCTGTTCATACTCTGTGGCTTTGAGTCACTGAATAAATAGGATTTGCATTAACAAGATCAGCTAATCCTGGATCAACTTAAAACCAGCGTTTTCACAAGGCAGTGGCAGATAACAAAATTCAGACGACTCACAATGCAAACTTATGTAAGTTGAGTTCAAAATATTCTGTTACAGCGGCAGCAGTACGCCCAGTTGCCTGAGGCCGAGGTAAAGAGCAAAGCTGAGGTCTGGAGACAATACGATCTGAAGAAGCAGGAACATTTATATGGTTTTTATCGAGACGCTCTTGGACAGCAACAAACAGTAAGTAATTTGTAGACCTGTGAGTGCACCTGTGTGTACGTACTATTGTACTAATATACATTTTTTCTATCATTCCCCTTCTTAGCTCACATTCAGAATACAAAGCATACTGAACAGTCGAAGAAATGATGCGACTCAGATGACTGTGAAGCAGCCTGGACAGACTTGAGCAAGAAAATTATCTTTGTAGGAGGAGAAAGTTGTAATTTTTGTTTTATTACTTATTTCCTCCAGAAGATTGAATGTTTTACAAGAGTAGTTTGCACTGAGCTTCCAAAGTTGTTTAAACGTAAACAACAGGCCAGCGGTGTCACTTTGGTTTAGCACTTTTTCAGCCTTTTCACAGGAAACATTATCATGTATGTAGTTGTAGTTGTTCAGTTGCTTGGCTGTTTCGCTGCTACCAAAAGCTAACTGGTGAATGTGCCTTAATCCTTGACCTGTTGATTAACTCTTAATATTTTTCTATATTAAATTAAAGTCATATAGTAGACACTTACTTTTTTCATGCTTTAAAGTGCACCTTTTATATTTTCCTTATCTCCTGTCACATGTTGATGGTATTGATCATTAAATATGACTTTTCAAATAACGAGGTCAGTGTTTGTACATCTAATCCAGGCTTCAGGCTACTTTGAATGTTTTGTGTCAAGAGGATTTTTTCCCCAACTATTTAATATGTATGACATAAGTGTTCCTATTAGGGTCAAACATACAAATCTTCTGTTTACAATGTAAGCTGAAAAAGAGCTAAAGGGTTTGTTTCAAAAGATGAATGTAAAATGATGGAACCAAGGCCCAGTATTGAACTTTGAATCATATAAAGCTGTACCAGATGGCTATGTTTTTGATCCCACAAGGGAAATTGTTCTAGATTTGTTGACAGTAGTAGATAGTCCATAGTCTAGTGGTTATACATTTGGCTAACAAGTGAAAGATCCCCTGTTCAGTCCCAGGAGACACAAATCCCTTTGGTGTTGTGTCAGGGCGTCCCATGTTTAAAAAAAAAAATCTGCCAAATCAAACAGACAGAAGAAGCTACTTGTATGGCACATAAAGGTTTGACCTGCCATAAAAAACAAAACAAATATATGGCTTACACTAATCTTTTTTTAATCTGTGTCTGCATTCTTGTGTAAAAAAGGTGACGCTTGCAACACATTGTGGATGTGAGTGAGTGCCAAATTTCTGCATGGCATAAACCAACATAAGGTGTTCATGTTTCCCCTCCTGAGTATCCTGCTAGGCACACGGCAGCTGTTCAGACACTGTCTGGTTTGCCTGAGAAGAGGACTTGTTAATTAGTGAAAGCAGACCAGCTGCAGTGCTGGAAGATCTTCAAGGTACCCCTCAAGCTTCTTGTCAGCGAACACTAATCCAAAGGAAAGCAGTATGTATAAAACTATAAAAAGACTCCTTACACACAGCATATCTTTCTTATAAATTATATTTTAGGTGGTATAAAAACAATGGATAAAGTTCTAGTAACAGTCTGCAGACAACAGTTTCAGAAAATATTTGGCACTTTCTTATGAAAAATGTGCCAAGTTTTTACACACGTTACATGCACCATCAGCATAGTCTATTAAAACATTGTTTTTATGGTAAATATTGTTCCCTTATAGAGATGTCTAACAAGTTTGGAATCAGTTTGTGATACCATCAAAATAATGCTGAATTTAAAGGGCAGAAAAGGCTGTATTGTATTGCACTGTGTGGAACAATTAGACTGTATAGTGGTAACAAAATACTTGAGATGCACTGATAATCCTTACTTCAAAGTGGGAAGACAAGGTAAAATAATAATAATAATAATAATAATTTTAAAAAAAAAAGTGGAAAACTGACCACCATGTATCACTTATGTCATCCACTGATTCAGAGCACAGGAGCTGTAAGGCATCCCAGCAAGCACTGGGTGGTAGAAACAACAGCCCATTACATGTTTAAATGTGTGGATGTACTATAACATTTTGGTATACTCATACTCATGGACATTTCTGTAATGTATCAAAAGATGTATGGATCACTTTTTTAACACCAACTCATTAACGGAGAAATCGTAAAAAAATGTTCTGCATTTTAAACTGATGATGAAAGCAAGGATCAGACATGGATGTTGGCGTGCTGATAGATAGATAAATGATCTACCTGCAAACCCAGTGACGAAATGCCTTTCTGCATCATGGACTGAATATAAAAGGACTCAACTCTGCCCACACTATTAAACAAGCCTTTGAAAGATCAACATTTACCAGGCAATGCCAAATTTTACACACATGTATCAGTTTGTTTGGGCTTAAAAAAGGGGGGGAAAAGCTGGCAACACACAGACAGTCATATTTTAAGTTAATTTATAAAAACATAAGAAATTAGTCCACAAAAAGGTAGTCCAATGACCTTCATATTGATGGCTGTAGTTTCCAGAAGTCTGAGCTTCCAGAGGGAGTTTTAGTCTCTGATGTTAGTGCATACTCTGCTAAACCCGAAGCTCGGGTCCAAATCAGGATTTCTTCCTCAGTTTTATGCAGATGATGAAATCAGACAATCCTGTGCAGCAGGTCAATGTCCTGTATCCAAGTCTCTCATGTACTCCTGCAGTGCCTGCAGCCTTGCATCAATCTCTGATAGCTCTGTACCTGTATCTACAGAGCTTTCTGGGGTTTGGGACAACAAATGACAAATTAGACTTTAAAAAACCAAAAATGCATGTAAACTGATGGGGACAAAAAAAAAAAAGTTACAAGTACAAGTTACCTTTGTCTTTGACTCTGAGTGTTGGTGTGCTGCATAATGGCTTCCTGGACAGAAGGCCTCCCCTGGACTAGAGACAGATAAATTGCACTGTAAATGTTAAGGCCTGTAATATTCTGTACTTAGTGGCTACAAAACCATTAAAAACTATAACTCTCAGTGATTTAATTCCACTAACATCTACTACCTACACTGCTTTCATACCCAAAAAAGGCTGGTATCAGCCCTTTTCAAATACATACAGGAGAGGACAACAAATAAATAACAGGAAAGTCATTACTCACCACATTGGGTCCATTGTAAGTCTGTTTTCTTCCTCTGAAAACATGAAAGAAAAAAAACAAAAAAACAACCCAGACATTAAAATAGCCAGCTACACCCACAGGGCCTTCACAAATCCATCCAAAGTACTATCACCTGTACAGAGTTTTGGTCATTTCATCCATGTCCACTAACGAGCTTTCAGAGGAGTTCCTGCTCCCTCGCCGCTCCATAGATAAACTCCTGCCTCTGCTGCCTGACCGGGTCAGCTGAGGATAGGCTTCTCTGGAACGTGAACGGCCTCTCTCGGGGAGCACGGGTGATGCCAGCATGTCCCTTCGCACCTTCCTTTGTCTGACACAGAAAAACATGCTTGAGCAGCTACTACACGGAGTACTGGCGTATACTCACAAAGTGAGGAAACCAACTTTTTGATTTCTGCCTCCTTCTGTCTGCGCTGCCTGTCCTGGATATATGCTGTTGGATCAAAGCGTGGAACCCGTGACCCTGCAAAAACAGAAGTGCTTATCAAGTACAAATCTTTATCAGTGCGATTAATTACTGAGAATTCATTCACAGAAACAACATCAGGAGCAGAGGTAGTACCTGTGGGGGAAGGTGATGGCCTGGGTATGTGAGCACGCGGTCCCGAGGAGTCTGCACGTCTTCCTCTTTCTACCAACCTCTGTCCTCTATCCTCTGTACGTTCTCTAGATCCCGAGCGAGCCCTGATTGTCCCGTACCCAGACCTTCTCTCCCGAGAAAGTGAGCGATAAATTTCTCCATCTACCCGTGAGCTGATACGACCCGACACAGGAGTCACTCTGCTGCATACACAAGAAAAACAGCACGAGTGTTCAGTGGGTGACTGATTTGGGTTTTGAAATTTTAAGCGTGTAAGCGAATGTATGAAAGAGAGAAAGTAAAGATATAGTACACGCTTAGATTGTCTAACCCTCTCCGTAGTAACGCCAGTTCATTGGTGAGACTCTTGACACGAACACGGAGAGCACACTCTGATGCTCTCAGCTCCTCTAACTGGAATGGAAAAAGGAAAAAGTTAAAACCTACTGATTTATTTTAAAAAGGGGGCGTTACACAGGTTAAAAAAAACAAAGAAGCATCACCTGCTCCACTAGCAGTCGCTGCTCCTGACATCTCTTGCTCATCGAGCGCTGACTTTTGGCCCTTTCCTTGACAAGTTGCTCCTCCAGCGTCCTCACCACATCTCTCATTCTCCAGTCCTCTCGTCCAGATGTGGGATCATTTCCACTCAACTGCAGTCGCTCCAGAACCTTCGCCATGCTCTCCTTTTCCTCTTTAACCAGAGCCAGCCTTGAAAACAGCAGGAGACATTTAAAAAAAGAGAAGAAGAAAACTTCCAGCATCTGCTAATATTGGTAACACTGGTAGAGATTAAACCTACTCTGCTCGTAGCCGCTGTATTTCTAGATCTGCAGATTTGTTAACTCCGTGAGAGGTGAGAGCACTGAGCTCAGCCCTGAGCGCTCTGATTTCCTTCTGCAGGACAGCTGGGTCAGGCTTTCCCACATAGGGCAGAGGTAGAGGGTAGTGAATTCTACACATGGACAGAAAATCAGAACATCAGCACAGCTTCTACTACAGACGCAGAGGGCATAAAGCAGCAAAGCTGTGAGCAAACCTGTCAAACTCCACTGTGTATATGAGAATGAGATATCTTTTGGCGGTGAGAGCAGATGGCTGCTGATGGCTGCGAGGACGACTGACCACCCCTGCTTTTCTGTTTCGCAGTAGCTCCAGGTCAGCATAGGTCAGGAGGTCAAGCGTAACAGAGTCACTCGTCTGCAAAGAAGCATCTCTTTCAACAATCAGAATAATAAAACATGCCATTATCACCTTAGGGAACAGTCTTATGATCGTAGGCTCCTGATTTTATATTTACCCCCCCAATTTACAGCAATTTAATGGCAAAAAAATATCAGCCATCTCTTCTAATGATCATGGATCTAATTTTCTAATAATGCATCTTCAGATATATCAGAAAGCATGTTTTTCTGTCTTGCTTTAACATTTACAGTGTGCGTGTATACCTTGCTTTCATGACAATTTAGTTGCAGCAGACTTAAAAATGTGCCAAAAATTCAGTTTGTCTCTCCTAATTTCCTCCAGGCTCCTTCTTTTCCCCCCTGCTACTACACGTTAATTAAAGGAAAAAGGGAGTAGGACATCCTGGGATAACTGGGCATTTTTCGCTTAAGTGGAGACAATGAACACAACCGAGTCTCTTCTTCGGCTCACACAGCCTCAGGGAAATCTGTCTCCTTATATTCATCTATTAACTGTGTTTACATTCGTTCTGCCTCTAATCCCCCCCCCCCACACACACACCTTTCTCACTGCAGATTCCAGCATGCTACAGAAAATAGGAAACTGCTTGAAGTTTCCAGTTTTGCGAGTGAGGTCTTCAATATCTAAATAAATGAAAAAGCAGTTAAAGTTAAACAGCATGAATGACTGGCTATAGTGATATGTAAACTGAGATGTATACGCCACTTACATGCTGGATCAAACTCCCCCGTCCACTGATCCGCTGTCATTGAATCAGAAATTTCGACAATGAGCAAACCCTTGTCCACCTCCATCTTCACGGAAAACTCCACCCCCCGAAATACAATATCCTCCATCAGCTCAGAGCCTCCCTCCATTGCTCTGGCTCTAAATCGGAGAAACAAATTATTCCAATCGATTAGAAGCAACTGAATCAACCAACTCCTTTCCTGTTAAAACAGAGACAGATGTATGCGTACATCTGACACCTGAGCCAAAATATAAAGCATAATCGTAATCTGAGCTGACCCACGCTTCTTCACACACAGCAGAGCCTTTAAGATCATGTTGAGCGACTGATAAATCTCAACACTGTATTGTTCGAAGGATAACAGGGAAAATCTGCAAGGAGACATGCATACTCAACAATAAAATGGGAATTAAATGATGTGTTGTGAAAAATATATTGTATCATTCCATGTATCTCACAAAAATATCCCAACATTTTGGGAATGTTTGCAATTCTCGGTCTTATTACAGTGACATTAAGATTTTTTTCAGCATCACAGCCAGAATCAGAATTTTTATTGTCATTAAACAAAAATAAAAAAGGTACGCAGTCCCATTCAGTAGAAAGTGAGCAATATATCTAATTAAATAGTTTTCATATGTACAAAGACTAATAACACAATTTCGAATAAATAAAACAATATAAATATATTAGTGTGTATAAAAACATGTGTGCTTGTAGCATTATTGATTGCACAGGGTTGATATTTTTACAGGTTAGTGAAACAAGGCATACCCTCCTTAAGAACCTAATTTTAAAAGCATAAAATATTATTCACAACATATGCATTTCTTATCTTCAAATAGATATCTTCAATAACCATTTCTCTCTCTTGTTTTTTCTGCTCCTCTCGCACAGCCTGTTATTACACAAGTAAGCCGCAAGGGCGGCAGCGGACATAGTTCATTTTAAAAGGTGTCAACATTGTTACAGTAAAAGTTCTGATTGATGGCTTCAGTCAAACAGCATGGGACTTGAGGGATTTGACGATGATCTTAAGCCACTGTTTAATAAAGTACGTCATTAACTGCGTCTCTTTTGTGGCGTTAAAACGCTGAAAGATTTCGCGCTCGACTTCACTTTCTCCGGTACTGCTAATAAGATATGTGCAACATTTTATCACATCGCATGGGGAAAAAGATTTAGTTCGAGTGAAACAACGTTAAATTTAAGCACGGTTTCGTTGGAAGAGATAATTGCATTGTTCTAAACTACGGTGCAACATTTCCTCCGACTTCTCCGTCAGCTAGCGAGAGTTACATCTTTGGTCAACTGACCAGCGCTAGCTAGGGTTATCTAGCACGGACACTATGGTTAGTTAACACAAGTATTATTTTAGTGGATTCACAGAGCGCTAACTCTGTACATCAACCACACAGCGTTATTAGATGTGCAATCAAACAAATGAACGTTACCTCTGCGTGCAGTGATGCTCTTTAGGGTGGTAAGCTGTCAAAACATTGCTACCTTTAGTAAAAACATGGTGGTGACCTATCTAATTGAAGTGACTATAACTGCTAGTCGACTAAATGACCGTCACCCCAAGCCCCAAACTGTTCATAAGCCGCAGGGCACCGTGGAGACCGGAGCGGTTCAACAACCGGGAACCGTTAAATTCTTCTTCTTTATCTCTCTCTGCCTCTGCCGCTGCCGCCTCTTCCTCTGTCTCGATTAGATGAAGGCTCGATGCCTCGCAGGCGTGTGGGCGCCCTCCACAGGTACCGATTAGACATTGCTCTTACAACCACACGAAATGGAATACGGTGAATGTTCACGGTGCACGAAAATGTCAGATAGGCTAATCAAGTAACGATGCAGCAGTGTAACGGCGACAATGTAACAGTAATAATAACGAGTAATGATAATATTAGCTTTATTAAAATTTGCTAAAAGCATCCAATACAATATAAAGTAATGTGAAAAAATATGAGCCCTCATTTCTTCATATTTTGCTGGAAAATGGGAAATAGGTGCAACAAGATTCCCACAATGTTTCAGTAATTCTGAGGTTTGGTCTCTGGGGAGGCCAATCCATGACTGATACTGCATTGCGTGTTGTGTGCATTGTGTTTTTTCTATCCAGGTATGCTTTTGCTGGATTGTTAGCATGTTTGGGATCATTGTCATGCTGAAAAAACAAGCAAAAAACTGTTCTTGTCTACATTATGATAATATAATTCTATAATATATTGTATTAGAATGATGTAGTATTATTATTAGTATAATAGTAAAATCACTTATTAGTAGAATAAAATTAATGTTTTACTGAAAAGTTTTAGTTCTTGTGTGACATGTTTCTCTTATCTAGATAAGTAATTCCAAACAGTGCTGCTAGACTATATTTATATTGTGCAATGATCAGACAGTACCAAGGATCTCCTCGTGTTTCTGAAGCTGCTACCAGTTTTTTTTTTTAAATTAATACATCATTTTGTCACCTCAGTGTTTCAAGAAAGGAAAACAACCGTGTTGACATTGTCTCAAGTGTGTGTTTACTTTCCACTGGTTGGTTAAGTGGTTAATATTAGTTGTCAGAAACAAGTGCCTCCCCCTAAACGTTTGGACAACCTGACCTCTGCTTGCCTTCACTCAATCTGGGTGAGGAACTGTTACCATGGAGACAGTGTTCACCCATAAGTTGAGTGATTGAGTCTGAAGTGTGAGGTGCTCGCTGTCTGTCTGAAAGGACATAAAACACACACACTGGGATCAGCGCAGTGTGGCGTGGATTGTATGCGTACTAAAGGATGGCTGAAGATGTTTAGTCCTTCCAAGAAGAACTAAACTCAGAGAACTTTTGGGAACTTGTTATGACTTAGATGAAACATCAGCAAGTGGTCAGGCAGAATGAGTTTACATGAATGGAAATTTAAAGTAGTGTAAACACTATGCTACACTAAATAAGTCACTACTGTTTGCTGCACATACCATATTTTGTTAATAGTTTGATGATGGCCTCAGCTTCATAATGGCATGCAGTGTAAATCCAGCATTACACATTATCCCCACCTGCACTGCAGAGCCAAACACAAATGCAGTTTTCTCCAGCCTCAGCCAGAGATGTCTGACATTTCTGTCTTGAGCTGACCTGCTCACTATTTCAGGAAACACATGCCTCTACCAATTACAAGCTAAAAATATGGACATCCCCTCTGGGTTGATCAGTTTAAAAGTGACATTGTATCACTAAAATGGTACAAAGTATATGAAAAGTGGATATATTCTTTCTGCTTTGATATTGTCATTATTAATAGTTGATAATGAGCATTTACAAAGATTCAGAAACATCAGTTGTAACATTATAATAGCCACTAATATAATGTTTTATACATCAGTTATTAACTGTTTGTTAAATTTTCAAAATATTTATCCCATTAATTTAATTTAATTGTTTATTTGGTAATGATGGTGTGACAGATTGGTGACCTGTCCAGAGTGTATCCTGCCTCTCGTACAGTGACAGCTGGGTTAGGTTTCAGCACCCATGTGACCTTGAACTGGAGAAGCAGAAGCAAATAGATGGATGGTAATAATGGTTAATATGAAGCATTAATGGAATGAATAATGCTTCATATTAACCATTATAGCTTATCTCATACTGATATCAGCAATTTAAGGTTTTGACAAATTCACACTAAGCCCTTAGTGACATTATGTGCGACTGTTTCATTAACTCCGGATAACAGATTAAGATTGACAGTTATGGTCAGTACAGAGAAGGATGGCCCTTAAGATCCAGCAAGATAGCTTTAGCTGCATTTTTTGCACTTTTTTTTAAAAGTTCAATATTTTTATTGACATTTATTTATTTTGATTGGCTACATGCTGGAAAATGTTCCCACTGTACTACTGACTTGGTTGTGTGTAAACCTGTAAAGTAAATCTGGATGGTGTGCCAGTGCCAGCCAAACTTGCGCATTACATTACTGTAACATTAAATCCTGCTGGCAGTTGGACGTCTTTGATTCCTCTCCTAGACTCCTCCCCTGGCATCTTAGTCCCTCCCATTAGTGGTAAGAGTGGAGGAGGAGAGGTAGAGAGCAGAGTGAAGCTGACCCCCCACCCACTTGAAACGTAAAGGCAAATAGGCGGAGCGGTTAGTGCTACGTTTGTGCTGGTTTGTGCTGCTAAAATTTTCGTTTGTGCTGCTTCTGTTTTAAAGATATTAATGAAAATGTAAAGGTCAAAAGGTCAACCAGCCCCCCCACATTACCCAAATCCAACAAAAGTGGTATCAAACGTTTGTGCTACGTTTGTGCTGGTTTGTGCTGCAGAAATTTTTGTTTGTGCCGTTATTATTTTAAAGATATTAACAAAAATTTCTAGAGGTCAACCAGCCCCCCCATATTAATGGAATCAAACAAAATGGATGTCAAACGTTTGTGCTGGTTTGTGCTGCAAAAATGTTTGTTTGTGCTGCTAACATTTTAAAATGTTTAATAAAATAACGTCTTGATGCGTGCTTAATCATCCAGGTAAGTAAATCCCAAAAGGTTGATTCTGTTCATCTGGACATTTTCAGTTGGAGAAACGTTTCGTCACTCATCCAAGTGACTTCTTCAGTCTCAGCTGACTGCAGGTTTCCCCAACCATATAAACAGTACATTTGCATAGTGAAGGAAACTAGCGCCACTGAATGAACAATGTGCCGGGGGGTTAATTCCATGATTGTTAGTATGCAAATTCTTATGACCATTGATCAATGACAACTAATCAAAGCCTATTGATCAATGGCCATGAGTACCATTCACAGAAAGTGGGGAATGGCTACAATCACAGCATTGTAGGATGGCGAAAGATGTACCCTTGGGCCCCCCTTCTCGATCCAGAGATGGTCAGCATCCTGACAGCCCGATGGACGAAGCTGTCTCTCAGTCTGCTGGTTCTGCCCCGGAGGCTCTTCAGTATCCTTCCTGATGGCAGCAAACTGAAGACGCTGTTGAAGGGATGAGTGGAGTCACCTGTAATGGAGACGACCTTCCAGATGAGGCAGGTGCAGTAGATCTCCTGGGGAGGGAGGCAAGAGAGGTCCCCACAATGCTCTCGGCTGCTCTCACTACCCGTTGTCATTTTTTCCTGCAGAACCCAATGCAGGAGTCATACCACACAGTGATGCAGCTGGTGAGGATACTCTCAACTGTGCCTCTGTAAAAGGTGCTCATAATGGGGGTTGAATCTCTTGTGCTTCTCAGTTTGCAGAGGAAGTAGAGTCACTGTTGGTCTTCTCCACATTCAGGGACAGGTTGTTGTTGCTGTACCACTCTGGCAGATGGTTAACTTCACCCCTGTAGTAGATCTCGTCGTGGGTCAGCAGAGTGAAGAGAAGGGAGCTCAACACACATCCTTGGGGAGCCCCGTATTCCGTGTTCTTGGCTGGAGGTGTTGCTGTTGACCCGTACTGTCTGCTGTCTTCCTGTCAAGAAATCTAGCAGCCCGTTATACAGCAAGGTGCTGATCCCCAGCAGATCCAGTTTGTGAATGAGTTGCTGGGGAATGATGGTGTTGAATGCTGAACTGAAGTCTATGAACAGCACTCTGACATATGAGTCTCTAGTGTTCAGATGTGTGAGGGCTGAGTGAGGGCAGTTGAAATTCCATCATCGGTTGAGCGTTTTGACCGGTATGCGAACTGAAATGGATCCAGGTTGGGGGAAAGCAATAATTTGATTTGATGCATGACTAACCGTTCAAAGCACTTAACTTAATAATGATGGAGGTGAGTTTGACAGGACGGTAGTCCTTAAAGCAGGAGATAGATGACTTCTTGGGTTCAGTAATGATGGTGGAGGGATCTCCACACACTGTCTGGGGATTGTGTCACCACGGTCTGTAGAGTGGGCTTGTAGTCTGTGATGGTTTGTATTCCTTGCCACTGCCTCCAAGTGTCTCTGCTGTCGCTGAAGCTTTGCTGTAGCTGATGCCACGTGACAGGTTTGCCCTTGCTGTTCTTAGACTCACCTAATTCCCGGCTCTGAAGGCTGCATTTTTCAACTTTAGGAGCATTTAAACCTGACCTGTGAGCCATGGTTTCTGATTGGCCCAGACAGTGATAGTCCTGGTCTCTGTGACATCATCGATGCATTTTGGGATGTAGGCAGTGACAGTTTCTGTATATTCCTGAAAGTCTGTGGTGTTGTCGTGTGTGGCGGCCTGTGGTGGAAAAGCAGTGCCTCTGAGGACCCTTCTGACCACACCTGTACCTGCTTATGAACTGGTTTGGTGACTTTGACCAGGGGCCTGTGGGAACCCATGGCACACCTAGATTTCTGCCTGTACTGACCCTTATGCAAAATAGGTGGAATTAAGACAGTTCCAAAAGCAAACACAACTGATCAGTGCTGAGAGTGGTCTGTTGCTGAGGTTGGGATGATCCTGTAATCTCTTATGAACGACCTCCAACGCTTCTATGACTGGGATGCAAGTGAAGACAGATGTAACATCTCTCTCCACTGTACATGTACTGTTTATAAAATTAGGGAAACATAACCTGCACAAACAAAATAATTTGCAGGACAAATGTTTGACATCAATTTTGTTCGATTTGAAGAAGGTAGGGGGGCAACTTCACTCACGGGTGTTTATAAGGTTGGGGAAACCTGCAGTCAGCTGAGACTGAAGAAGTCACTTGGATGAGTGACGAAACGTTTCTCCAACTGAAAATGTCCAGATGAACAGAATCAACCTTTT